TGATGACGTTGGGGCTTCAGGACCCGTATGTCGTGTCGCCACACTGCCACCGCCTGGCCGGAGCATCCCACTGCAGGGATTTTTCGTAGCCGAGTAGATTCTTCCGCCTTCCGGACGCTGGACCAGGACGTCCCCAACCGACAGCTAACACCTTCCCAGAGGGGAGTAGGTGTGCCCACCCTCTCTAAGGAGTGTGTCCCATTTTATCCACTCACCGAGGCTTTCGAATCGCTGGGTGGACGATGAGCTGGGGACAACAGGCTGGCTGCTCACACTAGCGCGGGGCTTGAACTGACACAGTTCGGATGTTAAGACAGTGGGATAGACCCACTGAATCGCCCCCTATGAAATTAAGAAGAGTCAGTGTTAGTTCCCTGCTTTTCTCTACCTTAAGGAGTCTCCGAGCGGCTTTCTTCATCGTTCAACTTTCCCACCTGTACATAGTACTGGGGAATACCACAGCCCAGTGCTCCCTCTAAGCTGTGGAGTCTTGTGAGCAGAAATCCTACTTTGTGAGCTACCGGCATTACTACCTCGTGAGCTACCGGCATTAAAGTTGTGGGTGAGCGATTCGGCTGCCGCATACATTAGCTTGCTCTGGAGCCATCCTTCCTGAGCGAAGACAAAAATGTGTGAGCTGGGGGCTAAAAAAAACCTGTGAGTTTAGAGGGAATGCTAAACTCAGCTAAGACGGAATGCTGACCACAGTATGAATTAACTTGACGTGGGTCGCCAGTGACACCTCCTTACAGGGTCGGGAAATTCTATCCCTCACAGAACTGCTGCTGTACAGAATTCCCCAGGATGGGAGCCAGTTTGGTGTAGTGGTTAAGTGCGTGGACTCTAATCTGGGAGAATTGGGTTTGATTCCCCACTCCTCCACTTGCACCTGCTGGATGACCTTGGGCAAGCCATAGTTCTGATAAGAGCTGTTCTTGAAAAAGAAAAGTTCTTGTCAAGAGCTCTCTCAGCCCCACCTACCTCCCAGGGTGTGTCTGTTGTGGGGAGGGGGAGGGAAGGGAGTTTGTAAGCTGCTCTGGGCCTCCGAGTGGATGGCAGGGTATAAATCCAATCCCCTCCTCCTCCTCCTCCTCCCCCTCCTCCTCCTCCTCCCCCCCTCCT